CCCACTTCCCTGACTTGCAAGTCTGCATGAGAGGTGACCCGTCTAAATTAAAACTTTGTTCTCTTTTGTCTCTTGCGGAATACAGCCCGAATTTTTGCCATAACATTTCTTAACCTGACACGGAGGAAGCACCTTCTGCGGCGGAGATTGGCACCTGTCCCGTAATGTCCATCTGCTCCCGTACCCAGGAGCACACACTTAGCTAAGCACACGCCCTCTCCCTCCCCCCTTGCAGCTAGGTGTGGGGATGTAACTCAAGCGCAGCTGCTGGGAGGTGAGGAGAGATGTCCCAAGCAGCTTCCGGAAACCTTCCCTGAGCAACAACCCCCTTTGCTCCACCCTGCTGCCCGGAGGGTAGGCACGCTGCTGCTTCGTCCTGGACAGTGATGACAGGCGCGGCGCCGCAGAGGACAGCGGAACAGAAAGCTGGAAGGACCTGCGTCCATCACGACCTAACGGAGCGCAGGAGCTGACGTTGTTACATGAGAGACATCCAATTGCTTGTTCGTTTAAGAAAGCATCAGTCTGAAATTTTAAAAAATTATTTTAAAAAAGTATCGGTGTGGGTCTGGGCACAGCCAGCCAGCCCTGACTCTGACTGATACACTATTCCAAAACGTGGCCAAGCGGCCGCTTACCCCAGCACGGCTCTGCGTCCGGCCCTCCTCGGGGCACCGCGGCTTCCTCACGTCCATGTGTCAGATTTGCTCTTCGTTGCCAACAAGCAGGTAAAATTACAGGAAATTTGTGTTTTCTTCCAGCAAACATTGAGAACTGTAGAGAGATGTTTCCTTTTCTCTTTTCCTCTGCGGCCCAGGAAACTTAATGGGACATGTTCTCTTAAATACAGCTCCGGGCGAGTGCAGACGGACTCACTCCGGGCAGGCGTGCTAGGCCTGAGTCAGCGCGTGGGCAGCAGTGTGATGCCGCGCTGAGGATGGCTTTGGGGGGAGGTCTTCTCTGGTGTCCCTCTCTGGCTCTTTGCAGGACCTAGAGCAGACCCGAGTCCAGCATGGGGGCGCTGACAGGGCAAAGTGGACCAACCCTGCACCACACCCCTCACGCCCGGGACAGCGTACATGCCGCCTTGCAAGAGGGATGCAAGAGAAATACACTCCCAACCCGCTAGCTGTCGGGTGTGCCAAGTTCATGTCCCCTGAAACGGAAGAACGAATTCAAAAGGACAAAGGAGGTTAAGAGGAGGAAAGGTCTTGAGAGACAGGGGGGCCCCGGAAGTGGCGGCCACGTGGCCCTTTGTCAAGGGTAAATCACACGGCAAAGTCACAGGGGGGGTGCAGCCCGGGTCAGCCGATAACCACGCTAAGATAGCTGCTTAGCTAATATTGATCCAGCGGGGACAGCGGTCACACAGCCAGCGTACGCAGGGTTCTGGTGTGCTCTCGCCTTTTGCACTGACTTCCTGCAGGGCCCCTCCGTGTCTGAGTGCCCATTAACTTCTATCTAACTTAGCTGCCTATGATAAGAAGACCTAAGGCCTGGAGAGACGGCGGCACAGGGGGGTGGGCAGGCACGGGGGTGCCCTGACCCGCACGCCCCGCTGGGAACAGAACAAGATATTTGCAGACCAGGGCACCAGCGGACGGAGCGGTGCTGAGCGGTGTCTGAGAAGGCTGAAAGCAAGCCCAGGACCTGACGGGGGCCCGGGGAGACGCCGCGCAAGCCACGGCTCGAGGTGGCACGGGCGGGCACCGACTGCAAAGGGGAA